TCAAACTCACGAATCAAAGACGCCAATATAAGTTGAACACTCTTGACACCTGATGGCATTCCAGGACACATCCTCCTCCCTGAACCAAATGGTAATAGCTCAAAGTCTTGGCCTTTAAAATCCACTTTTGATCCAATAAATCTTTCGGGGTTGAAAGATAAAGGGTCATCCCAAAGTTTAGGGTCTCGGCCCATTGCCCAAAGATTGACGAATATTTTGGAGTTCTTCGGAATTGTGTAATTCATAACCTCACAAGTTTCAGCCGCCATATGTGGAAGAAGAAGAGGCACCGGTGGGTGTAATCTCATGGCTTCTTTGATACTAGCTTGTAGATAAGGTAACTTAGATAGTTGTGAGTCGGTGATTGTATCGGAGGTGATTTCCCTTTTAATCTCTTCCATTATTTTAGACATGACCTCTTTGTGTCTCACTAGCTCCGTCATAGCCCAGACAACTGAAGTGGTTGTAGTATTTGTTCCTGCTACGAATAATTCCTGTAAATACAAAAAGATGGTTCTGTTAAAAAAGATCAATTTGTAAGGTATGATAGTTATATAGAAGAAAACAATTGGTGAAATAAATAAACCCTGTATCATAATTTGATTAATCGAGAATGTGGATGGACGAATGGAACAACCTTTTTCTTTTATATTGTTGGTAGGTTCAACAAAATTATGCTTAAAGAGCTTGTTTATTTGTGTATTAATTTGTCTATCATATTTGTACAAAAATTGTTCTCTCGTCTTGCAATTAAATTAGTCCATACAGTTACTAGTCTTTTTAATGATTCAGGTATGCTCATCATCCCATGCAAATAATTTCCATTTTGCTACAAATCCATAATCAAGAATAAATAGCCAAGAAAGACTTACAGTGACCAATTGATTTATCTGATCGTTTGAGAATCCATTTTCAAGCATGCGATCCACGAAAGACTCTGCCTGGTCTGACGACCATGTTGAAGAATTGATCCGAGCTCTTCTTTCCTCTATTATATCCTCCCAATAAGCAAACGTCTTCTTATATTGTGTCATGGTTCCCTTTCTTATTCCTTGAAGATCAAATCTCTCGAACATAGGAAAAAATGAACCAAAATCTTTTATAAGCCCTCCATACTCGATTATCTTATGTAGCGACTCTTTTAACCCATCACGGGTCCCTTGTTCATCCTTTAGATCGAGAAAATCTGTTGCAAATATAACGGAACTCAAAGTGTTGAACAATGTAGTAAAAACTACATCCTCGACGTTTATCACTTGTCCTTGCTTTCTATGCAAGAAATCCAACAACTGGCCTAACTTTTCATGCCGTAATCTAGACTGGGATTCTAAGGCTTTCGACGAGAACATTTCGGTTCGACAAAGGGTTCTTAAGTTTTTCCAGGTTTGGTTGCACTCTGACCATATGAGGGAGTGAGGTATCAGGGATGTCTGTTGAAAAGCAGTAGGCACAACACGAGAGGAAAGAAAACGGTCTTGGGTCTTRAGAATTTCCATGGCTGCCTCTGGTGAAGAGGCAACCACAAGAAATTGTTTTCCTAAACGGAGAGATATAAGAGGGCCGTATTGTTTGGCAAATTTGGCAGTTGAGACGTGAGGTCTATCCCCCACTTGATGTAGATTCCCGATGATTGGCAACCTCGGTGGACCCGGTGGGAGGTTCTTTGAAGATGATGGTCTGGTTATTTTTACGATGAGTAAAAGGAAGAGGATCGTTGATAGAACGAAGAGAGGGGTTGAGAGATTGTTATCTCTAAGAAAACTTGTGATATCCATTAAGAGTTTTGTGGTGAGGTACGGGGTTGTGTTTTGTTTGTGAATGATTTTGAACTTGGAAAGGGTGTATTTATAGGCTTAATTGACGTGGTTGTTCTTTTAATGCAACTCACATGAGGCTTCTTTTAGTATGCTGGTCAAATATATAGAATCCTTATGTTATTTTGAATATGGTGGGGCATGCATATGCATACAAAAAGAATAATGTAGTCAATTGTTAGCATGGTCTATTAAATAATTGTATGGCAATTATGGTCAAATCTAGTTTACAAGAATATATAAAAGCAATAGAACCGGTCGTTTATAACGTCGAAGGTGCTCGGGTTTTGTTAATTATGCAACAGTGGCATTTGTCGATTTGGTCGGCTGTTTTTTCTGTTCCCTGCCTTTTCACAATCTGTTACATTACATGATGGCTGCTTCGCTAATAGACTTCGATGCTTTTGACACGTCATATGCATCCAAACCTTTGCTTCACTATTTATCAATAATTTATAATTACTAAATAAATAACTTTTGGTTTGAACTAATATTTAAGTATGATGCACGTATGTATGTATGTATGGACATATTTTTAAGGTTTTTTTACATATGTTTTTAATATCAATTATAATATTTTTTTCATACAACTTCATCATCAATATTTAACTTTTATAACAGATTTATCATCCACAAACACAAATTAATATAACGTTAAGTTTTTGATGATAAAGGTATGCAAAAACAAAAAAACGTTTAAAACGATATGTTAAAAATGTACTCAAAACTGTAGGAAACCTACGGTTACATTTTATTTTATGGTAATTCATAGACAATATTGATGAAACATGGACAGATAAAAAACTGCATTTCAGCGTAAAAAATTAACGATAATTAGAGGCTGACAGTCGCAAACAAACCGGACCACATAATCACGTGAGTTCCTCATTTTCTATGGCAAGCCTAAACTTTTTACCCATAATAGGCATCATCTTCAAGGATATATCTAGAAAACATGAACCCATTCTCTCTCTCTCTCTACATAATTTTATTAAGTGGAAGGAAAACAAACACCGGGCCGTACAGGGAATCAACAACAGACAGCGTGTCGTAGAAGGTAGTTTAACAAGGCTTTGAAATTGGAGGTAATAAGTAATTCACCAAATCCWCTATCAAGTGGGAGAAGTGGTACAAGTATGGAACGAGAATCGTAGTCATATATATGATGATGGAAGAAAAAAAAACATGAAATTCTTATTGTAGTGTCGACGGTCACCTATATGATGAGAGTTTTAAGGAGTTAATATGTTAGCCATTGAAATATAAATAATGTATTTGGAGAAACAATATATAAATAATAATAAAGAGGTTTTATTTCTTTGAAAATGATCAATTTATTTATAATATATATGGGAGGTGACCATTATTTCTATTTAGGTATATATCAACCAAATACTATAACCCATATAGTTAATTTGCCAAATAAAAAAAATGGAGAGTTTGACACTTCATATTTGAATTAATAGTGGGCACTTTATGGGTGGTAGTTTAGGGTTTTGTAGATGGCGACGGATATATGTGAGGAGTACCAATAAAAGAGATAAATGGCGAAAGTGGCATCCATTTTTCGTGGGGTTGTTCTCAAAGGTAAACCAAGACATATAGAGACGAGAATCCGAGAGAAAAGGAACGAGAAATGAGCGGTCGGTGTTAAAATCAAGAATAAATCGTAGAGACATCGAGGAAAGGGGCTGTTTACCTAATTGCTTACTCGATAAGTGCTTACCAATAGAAAGTCAACACTATGATTTATTTTGATGCGTAACAATTTTAGTATATTAAAACATATCGAATGCAACATTTAGTGGGTAAGTCTTACCTGGGTAAGAGTCGTCATCTTCACTTACTGGGTAAGACTCTCCATCATTTTCATCGCTCTTAACCGTTAAAATTTTGACCCTTCTCATGTTCATCCGATGAGGAAATCGCGATACTACGCATCCTTACTCATAATATAGTGCAAGTTAGGTTATCCGGTAAGTACTTACCAAGTAAGTGTTTAGTAAACGGCCCCTAAGAATCTCTAGTGTTTTGAGATTTGTATGTGTCTATTGAGTCGATTAGTTGGTCGGATAATGGATAAAACCAGTCATATTAATTTGGAGTCGTAACGATTAACATGAAACAAGGGGTTGCACACTACCAAACAGGGCAACATTTCCGGTGGCAATATCCGCCAAAAATCATTCTTACCGGTGGATTTCCGGCCGATATTGCCGCCGGAAATGTTAACACCGGTGATTAATTTACCGACGAGTTTATCGGCGGATATTTATTTTATCGGCAGATACCGGCTGTCGGAAACTTTTCGCCGGTTTAATTAAGAAATATTGATTAAATTAAGAATTAATTTAAGGGTTTTTTTTTAATTGAATTAATTTATCGACGGAAATTTCCGCCAAAAATCCGTCGGTAATAATTTTCGCCGGAAAAACGAATTTGATAAAATTAATTTTTTTTAAACGTTCATTTATTTTTTAAATATTACGGCGGATAAATCCGCCAGAATTTTAAATAAAATATTAGTTTTAGAATATTGTTACAATAAATATTTAAAACCTGTAAATTTGTAAAAATATTGAAAAAACTAAAAACATGAAATGCAACTAAATATCATACATTAAACTAAACAATTGTTACAGACAAACGATGTTCAATTTAAAATACCACCCAATTGTTACAAACAAACTAAATTGTTCCAAATAAACAAACGATATTCAATTCGGTGACGGTGGGAAATGTTATGATTGAGTGAGTTGGCTAACCAAAGCAGTCATATCTTGAATTTGTTTTTCCTGTCACACCTCCACCATCCGTTGGCGCTGATTTTCTTCTTCTAAATCCAGAACTTGAGTCCTTAAGGCTCCAATTTGCTATAAAATAAATAAAACATTATTATATTTAATATGAAGCATAAACTAAGTCGATAAACATCATCAAAGAAAAAGAGACATATACCCGACTCTCTGAAGACGACCTAATTGGGATCTTGGTTGTACCCAAACCCAAATAGACGACTTTTTTTGCTTCCCCCAACCGCATGCTCCCACAACTCTTTATCAACTAAGGAATAGGTGGAGGGATCATTGCCGTATCTTTGGGTGAGACCCGTTGAAAATCATCCTATATATGGTTTAAAAAAGATTCCAAGTCAATTTTGACAGCATRACGGCTGTAAATGGGACGTTTCCAGGCAAAACAATAGTGATACATATGAAAGTTGTACCCAAAAAATCCTAACGTTTCCCAACAAATGGCAACCGAAACTAAATATTGATATATACATAATTTCTAACTTAAACAATCATAATGTTTGCCCAACAAATGGCAACCCAAACTAGATTTTAAATTAAACGACTCGAACGTTTGCCCAACCTAGATAGATAGTTACGTATCCAATTATAATAGATAGATATACTTACCATGACTTGGCTACACTTAGAGGTCACGTACCCTCCAGAATCCGTAGATGCGACATCTCCACCCGACCTCTTCTTATGCGTATAATCGAATAATTCCACAACGATCGGTGGCACGTCATCTTTTGCTTGTGTCTACAAAGGTCACATAATACGAACATGTGTTAATTATAACATATTAAAAATCAAGCTACTAAATTAATGGGTTTTAGGTCCTACCAGACGAGCACCATGCTCCAAAAATGGTATCGATCCACCAGTGTGTAGCGCAACTTGGCTATCACGGTTCTCACGCGCCACACCGAAAACAGCCTTCCAATTTTCATTGTTCCAACGATCGACCATCTGGATCCACACATCTGAAGATATCCAGCTGGGGGGGAAGTTCTTCAACACAGTCATATCCCGGTGGGGGTCGGTTTTATCGTATTGAGGATACCCATTCCTCTTCGCTTTTTCCCCAGTTTTTGTCCTTGTGGCACTCAAGTTGTCATTATATGCTTGGTCGACTTTCTCTCCCATGTCTCTAGGATCTGGCATCCAAAGCCGAATCCCAAATGTAATAGCCCTGTACGTAAAATTTTAGTCGATTTTTAGGTTAAAAAAAAAATAATAAGTTGAATATATAACACAAACCTGGAACCGATCCCACATTCGGCGTCTCACATCCTTTGGGATTTTTTCCCAACTGATCCATAGGCCGTCAAGCAGCTCTCGGTTGATTTTGGTGATCCGACAGATCACTCTGGTGTCACTGAAACTATCTAATTAACGAATTGAATTAGCATCAATACAAAAAAAATTATTTTTATCAATTAAAAGATATAAATGTATTTACTCTTTGTCACGAATGCCGACAACCGTCCGTTGTTGTGGAAGCGGCTCCGGAGCAGCACAACCACAACCAGACTCTATCTCCTCCGGGTGTGCCGAAGCAGTACTAGAGACTCTACCCGTACCGTGGCTAGCTGTACTGCCACTACCTCGACCGGTAATCCGAGTACGCAGCATTATCGATTTTTCTACAAAGCAACGTTAGAAAACATACAATAATAATTCAAGTATACAGTAAATATTCCACACAATAACAGATGTCGAACAATGGTTTACTAAGATTTAAAATTGGAAATAATAAAAATTTAAAACAACTAGACAAAGTTTACTAACACTAAAATTTACATGAGAATTTAATCATCTGATGAGTGATCAGACAAGTCAAGTTCTTTGTCCTCAGAGTCACTATCTGAGTATTGGAACTCCTCTTCTTCGTCACTACTCTCATCAACATGCCAGTTGTCGCGACAATCGTTGACAACTTCGATGTTATCTTCCCCTGTGACAAGATGGATTAGTTCTTGAACATCTTCATTTTCGGCAGGAAAAGGAGGTGGTCAGCGGCCGGAAGGAGGTGGTCGTTTGGCCGAAAGGAGGTGGTCGCTTGGTCGGACCGAAGGGGCCAATCGGTTTCGGTTTTCTTTGTGTTTGGAGTTGTGTTTTGGCGGCTGTCGAATGAGGAAGTAGGGTTTTTATTTCAGATGTTTTTACCGGTGGATTTGTCCGCCTGAAACCTTTTAAAAAAAT